TCCAGCACCCCTCAATCGAAGGGGTCTATGAGACCCGTGTGCCGTTGCTCTTCCGGGCTCTGTTGCAACTGGGCAACGCAGGACGCCTGGCTGCGGCTGCAGCCGCGACGGCATCATCGGCGGCCTCTGCCAGCTCCTCCGGGCCTGGTGCCGATGCCGGGCTCTCCTTTGAACTGGATGCCCTGCATCTGGATGGCGACTGGCCGGCCAACAACTATCTGGCCAATACCGAAGGGCTGGATCGGACCCTGCCTCGGTCGGGTCACGGGTCTCGGGCCCTGGCAGCCGGGCCGGCCGAGCGCCGGGCCGTGCGCCACGTCTTCCTCCATGTGTCTGGCTCGCCAGATGGCAAGCGCCTGCTTTTGGGCCTGGCCGTGCCGGATACCGGCCGGGTGCACACATTCATCTGCGGCGCGCCGAAGTATGTTTGCCCCTCTCCCGCGCATCGCCCCTCCATCCCCCGACAGCATGCTGACACACCGGCCCTTTTGCTGATGCAGTGCCCAGGGTCTTGGCAATATGGCCCGCCTCTATCGCGAGGCGCTCAGCTCGTTCCGCGAGCATACGGCCACGGACCCCTCCACGCCGGTGCGTCCCCTGCCTTGCCTCCTCGGCCTTGTTGGTTGCTTGTCTCCTCCCCTGGCTCCTTGCTCCTCGGCTCACATGCCTGCTTGTTGGTCATTCCTCGCGCCCTGTGGTCGCCATGCCTGTCACGGCCCCGCCATGCTTGCAATACCCCCTGTGCCCAGGCCTCCTTCGAGTATCCGGAGGAGGTGACCGTGTCCTCGCGCGTGGTCAAGGCCCTGGATGATGCAACCTTGCGCTCGGTCAGTGGCATCATCAGTGCCCTGGTGGCCGAGCACCGGGGCTCGGTGATGCTCAATGTGCAGGTCCAGCGCCTGGCACACAGCCCGACCGAGCTGGGGGCCCTGACGCATGTTGTCGGACGGATCAATCACTTCCTCGACACGCCGGTGCCCTTCCTCCGGGTGCCCTTCCCGCATCGCGGGGAGGCCCTCGACGCCGGGGAGGGTGGCGATCCGCTTCTGTGGCAATCACGCGCTGGACGCCTTTTCCTGGCGCAGTTCCTCGGCTGCTCGGGCTTCGTGGCCGAGCAGCTGGCCCTTGCCCGGATGGCGCGGCTGCCATTGTGTAACCTGTCCGGGCTGGGGGCCCCGTTGGCCGGGCCGCCGTTGGCCGGTGGAGACCACATGCTCCTGATTTCGGACATTCTCTTTGCGCGCGTGCTCAAGAGCCATGATTGCCTGATCTGGGCCTCGGCCACCCCGCTGCCGGACCTCGGTGGCAAGGAGCACGAGGAGGCCGTCCTGCTCGGGGACGAGCTGGACTTCCTGCGTCAGACCGGCAGCGGTGGCTCGAGCGAAAGCGCCTCGGCCTCGGGCGGGCGATCGACCGCCACCACGGCCGGTGTGGCCTTGCTGGGGGACTCGGTCGTGCCGGCGGTCAGTCGTGCCGGCGCCTACCGCACGGTGTCCGTGGAGTTGGACTTGTCGAACTTGCCCTTCGCCGCGGTGATCGCCTCCTCGCACATGAGCGACTCCAGTGACTTGCTGTTGGCGGCGGAGGCCGCCGCACCGGGGGCCACGCTGGAGGGCGTCGGCCGGGGGCCCGGGGCCCCTGGCGCCGGTGCAGCCAGCTCCAATGCCCCACTTGCCGGGCCGGATTCCCTGAGCGTCGAAGTTCGCCGGGGGGCCGGGGCAGCCGGTGCGGCGGCCCGTGAGGCTGCCCTGGCGGCCGGGGCCGACGAGGTGGCCGCCCAGGCGGCCGGCGAGGAAGCCGTCGCGTCCTTCCTCCTGACGGCCGCCCTGACGGAGCCGTCGGCCCTGCTTCTGGTGGACGAGTATTCGGCGGTGTATTCGGCCTTCCGGCTGCTGAAGGCCCTTCTGGGTGGGTGGTCTTTCGAGGCGCTGAAGCGCAACCGGGACCGGGCCAGCAGTGGCAGCGGCAACTCCCCGACGGCCCTCTTTGCGGAGCTCCTGCTGCGGAATTTCAACCGCTGGCTGCGCACCCCCGGGTCGCTGATGTATGACCCGCTGCTGTTGCGGCACATCCGGCGCCTGGTTCGGCGGATTTTCGCCCGCCTCCGGGGCGAGGTCGAGCGTCTGGGCAGCACGGTGGTGTATGCGGACCTGAACAAGGTATGCCCGAAGCCCATGCACAGGTGTCAGTGCTTTCCCCTTCTGTGCTGGCCTCCCCCTCGCCGAGGCTCTCATTGGGCATTCCTCTTGCCTACTGCTGCTCCTTCCCCCCCCCCCGCCGCCCCCCCTCCGACATTGACCCCCCTCCCCCCCCCTCTCCGCCGGACACAGCTGATCATCAACACCAACAAGACGACATTGGCTCACTCGAATGCCTATGTGCGTTTCCTGGTGGGAACCATTCGCAAGCAGCCGCTCTTTGCCTGGGTGGCCATGAAGCCGGTTCGCGTGTGGGACTATCTTCTCTGGCTGGATCGGGCCAATTTCGGTGGGTGCGCTTTCGAGGAGCATGCCCCGGCTGGCGATGGTACCGCCACCACTGGCGGCGGCTCCTCCGCGGCCCAGCCTCTGGTGCTGATGCACTGGAATATCCAGCGCTTCTTGCCCCCGCGCCTGGAAGCCCTCTTCCAGTCAATCATCCACGAGCTGATTACCCTGGTGCATGCACGCATCGGCGAGGAGCGCACTTGTACGTGTTGCAGGCCTTTATGCTGATTGGGGCCTCCCGGGCTGCACCCTTCTGCCCCCCCCCCCCCCCCACCCCTGGTCACTTGTCGAACCGTGCTCTCGTTACCAATTGTTTGGCCGCCTTTTCCGTGCCGGATGCTGACCCTCATTTTCGCTTCCCCGGGTGCGCTGCTCCTGCCTTGGCCATGCCAGACTCGCTGCTCACTCGGCGCCTGCAGTTCCTCCAGCCCTTGCCGCAGGGTGACTCGGCAGCCGGGGACCGACATGAAGACGCGGCCGCGGCGCAGGAGGCTGCCCGTGCCGAGGCCGCATCCGCTGCCCAGCTGGACCCCTTCGACTTTGACACGCTGCTGGATGCCCCTGTGCCGGACCTCCCGGCCGCGGACTCCGGAGCGCCAAGCCTGCTGGATGCTCGCACCTACGCCGAGCGCCTGGTCATCAACCATATTGGGCACCTGCTGCTGCTGCCGCCGGTCCATGAGATGTTCCGTTCCGGGGTGCGCTTTGTCAGCCAGTCGGCCTGGGATCAGATTGTGGCCGATCGCCGGGCAACCTTCCAGGCCCGGCGTGACCGGTACCAGGCCGCGCGCCGGCGCGAGGAGCAGGACCTCTCGGATGCCGAGGACGAGGAGGCCGGGGCCTTCGGCGATGCCGAGGAAGACCGGTACCTATCGAGCGATGAAGAGGAGCGCAACCGGCTGCTCTTCGGCTCCTCCTCCGACGAGGCAGAGAGCGAGGAGGATGACGACGAAGAGGAGGGCTACAGCTCCGAGGAGTTCCTCTCCGACGAGCACTTTGCCTCCGAGGTGGACGATCTCAGCGACGGGGACTTTGGCATGAGCAGACGCACGGCCCGTGCGGCGGCGCGCCTTGACCGTCTGAGCGACAATGAGACCGACCCCGGCATCGGCCATGGCGATGACCTGCTCAGCCGGTTTGGCGAGTCGGACGAGGACGAGCAGTCCCGGCCGAAGAAGGCGAAGCCCACCGACCGGGGCTCTCCAGCTCGAGAGGCGCGGGTCCTGGCCCGGCATTCGGACAGTCGCGATGCTCCATCCGGGCGCCGTGCTGGTCGGTCCGGGCGCCCCACCGGGTCCGGGCGTGGGGCAACACGGCCGGCCCGTCCGGCCCGGTCGCCATCGCCCGGGCGCCAGGCCGAGATCGCGCGGCGCCAGGCCGAGCGCGACGCTCGACGCCAGGCGCGCGAGGAGGCGCGCAACGCCATCCTCCTGGAGGGTGCGGATCTTGTGCTGCCAGCCCCACCGGGAAGTTACCTCGACCCGCTGGTGTGTCCGCCGCTGGTGGAGTTCGTCAAGTATGTCATCCAGGTGATTGCCCTGGATCGGCAGTTTGAGCGCTCGGTTACCGTCCTGCGAAAGGTGCGCGCAAACCCTCACAGGTTGGTAGGTGGGGGCGGGGGGGGGACGGAAGGAGGGCCAGGCATCGTCGTTTCTCTTCTTTTTTTTTTTCCACGGTATTTCCCTCGGCCCTGACATGTCTTTGTTTTCCCCCCTTCAGAACTCCCTCTCCCTGATGGGGATTGGCGAATTTGCCTCGGGCGCCATCTTCCGGAACCCCTGCTTGTCGTTCCTCCTGACGGATGTGATCTGCTCATTCTGCCACAGCTGCCGCGAGGTGGACCTCTGTCGGGATATCGATGCCATCGGGCCGGACCAGCAGAGTTGGATTTGTCTGGATTGTGACAACCTGTGCGTCGCCCTGGACAATGGCCAGTGCCCTCGGTCCCACTGATTGTGCCGCATGCGCGGCCGCTCTCTTCTTCTTCTTCTTCTTCTTCTTCTTCTTCTTCTTCTTCTTCTTCTTCTTCTTCTTCTTCTTCTTCTTCTTCTTCTTCTTCTTCTTCTTCTTC